TGTCTGTGAGAAAGTCGTAGAATGATGCGTGGAGAGGACGTATGGGAGTCTGAGAATCCGTAGTGCCGGCGATAAGCGAGCCCATTGGTCCAAGCACCCAATCCACCTGGTAGCGGTCACCCTCAAGTGGAAATTGCAGTCGCATTGCGGTCAACGCAGACATGGAAAGCGGTTCCAATGATGCAACGACTTGGCCCATCACAGAGCGAAACATGGTGATTGCTTCCTCGTCCTCAGACATGATTTCTGCTAAGATCAGCCGATACATATCATCCAACAGATGTGTTCCTTTTTGATCTTTAGACGCTCCGGTAACCAAAGCTTTGAATCGGGCCATTGGATCCGCCCCCACTTTGTTGGTACGCTTGATATACTCGCAGGCGAGACGAGCCCATTCGAACATCCCGTCAGATTTCTGAGCAAGCGTCTTGAAGTGCCCGTCGTCGAATGGGTTGCGTGGGCCTTGCAGCATAGTGGAGATATAAATTTCGATGTCGTGTTCTGTGCACTCGACCGGGATTTCATCCAGGGAGATATGACGGACATGTGACCCAGTTTGCAGTCCATCCCCGATGTCTCTGAGTGGACGGGAAGTGACGATGATACGGAAGTTTGCTGGGAGTTGGGGAGAAGAAGTGTTCGGGTTGCCAGTAAGCAGATGGAGAATCTGTGCCCGGGATTGGGCATCACTACTCTCGTCCAATGCATCAATGATTATCAGGACAGGTGCAGTGATGGCTTTCGAGGCTTCGCCAATTGGTCCTACGACTAACTCCTGCCATTGTCTGGAGATGTCTATGGTATCCTTGAGCTCGTTGTCGGCATGAACCGCACGCGCTAATGCTCCCCGCATCGTAAGATCGCAATCAGCTAAGTTGCGTGCGATAGTAGTGAATATCTTTTCGTGCCGGCGTTCGGCTTCCCTTGTGCGGTCGAAGCAGAAACATGCTCGTAGGCCCCCGCGCTCATGAGACCAGTTCGCAATGGTATGTGCGATGGCTGATTTCCCTTTCCCTGCGGTGCCGGACAACCATAAGACCCGCGGCACGTCCTCCCCCGTGCTGCGGATCCAGCACTTGATCTCGGACAGAATGTCTTCCCGAGTTCCTGGGAGACAATTCTTGGAGGTATTCCGTCCGGCACCACCCACGCAATTCATGCCGCTAATATCTAGGTCTTCAGCTGGGTCATCGAGCCATCGAATTTCAGACAAGGCTCAGAGAGAACACAAGGCCGACTCTTACCGATGCGATGAACAGTTACTACGGTGTCAATGGACACCTGATCTCTGAACTGCTGCATGAGACTGTCGAGAACGTCGTTGTAGCTTTGGATCGTGGCCTCTGTTTCTTTGAGGACGTGCTTGCCGAGTCTTTTCCCTGTACAGAGACTGAGTCTTTGACGACGGATGCAATGGAACTGACTCACAGAAACCCTTCATGTCCGAGTAATGGACGATGAAATCGGCGCACTCCAGCATCTGTCGCGACATTTTTCCGTATATCTCTACCATTGATGAAATCCTGGCCAGTGCCTCCTCTTTCGCCAACAAAGCATAGACGGCTGAGATCTTCGCGAGGAGACTAGCAACAGCTGCATCGCGGGACGCTTGATCGAGAATCATCTACCACCGAAACAATCTTATTAAATTGCAAAGGCGGGAGTATGGAAACAAGCGCACATTGGAAGCGTAGGTGAATATGCTCAATGCCACCTTTGCATAGGGATGGAGCTATGCACGAAGGTCAGCCGCGCACAAAATAGAGATAGCGATGAACGCCCTTACATCTGCAAGCCTTTCAGCGATAGAGTTGAATACCTTCAAGGGTGCAAGGATCGGGGAGAATGTGTTGATCGCATCGGAGACGGACTGTAGGTTGTTGGGTGCTGAAGCGGTATTTTCGACAATCCCTGTGACATTTTCCATGCCCGCCACACCTTTGGTGGCATCGATGATTCTTTTATTCACAGACTTCGTGTCAGGTTGTTCGGCCTGATGATGGACATTAGTACAGATCGAAAGAGAGATAGAATGTTCCGAACTACGATGGTTGAACTTACATTTGTAATACATGCACTAGAAGACTGACCAGGATTTGGTTCGGGAGTGGGAGCAGTGAATGAAGGATCCTGCGGCAGTTAGTAGCGATCATGGAACGTTCCAAGGGTTGCACATACCTGGGTTGTTCCGGTGTGCATGAGATCCTGGGCGCTGGTACTTGCAGCTGCGGGTTCAGGGTTCGGAGACTGTCGAGCGCTTCGAGCAGAACGGTTGGCCAACTTGTCCCGTAACTTGGGAAGGAGTCCTTTGCGAGATTCCATGTGGGAGAGAGGACGACTAGAACGACATCGTTACTCGTTACTCACACAACCAGTAGATGTAGGAAGGGGAATGTTTAATACCTCGCTTTCACTTGCTCCCCTCTCCACTGGCACCGGCAAATGAGGGTTCGCGTGGCTTCGCCCCACCAAATGCAAGAGCTTTTTCGTCATCAACAAAGTTGGAAAGCACAACTGGGTCTGTTAAAGAGGTGCCTCGGTCAAAAAGGACGAGGGCGGTGGTAGATGGGACGAATGGTGGATAGGCGCCTGCCGGTACTTGTATCATCCACATCACACGCTAGGGATAACAAACACACGCGAACAGTATCATCATGGCCCCGTAGAGTAGAAGACTGGTGCGGCCAAAACGGCCGGCGGGAACGGCGAACCAGTGGAGATCAATCCTCCACTGGGGCGTTTGCAAAGTCGGAGACGCGGCGGGGGACACAGGTGTCCCCCTTTCCTAGCTAGCAATGTCCTGGTACTATAATTATCGCAAAGGACCGGACTGAACCATATCCTTAGGCCTTATCGATTGCCGAAGACTGCCCGTGATGGCTGCAAGTACTAGTGCTGGTGCTCATGAGTCGCAGACTTGGAAGGACGAAGTTCATTCACCACCGTGAACTTTGAAGTCACTATCACCGTTGTATCGTGATTGCACTCAATGACTGGCGCGTTGCCCGCCTTTATTTGTGCATGCTTGGTTCAGACGCGACGCGCAGCGCTCAACAATTCATATTATTCACTCTTGAGTCTTCCCCTTGTTCAGTCAACCTTGACTGCCATGACCGCCTGCGACCGGGGATTGAACTGAACGTGATCTTTCCGATGCAGTCCGGTTGATTTCTACGCATCTTATGTTGCTGCTCTGACCTCTGTTGCATGGTCACCGGTCACCCGACGGGCGCTTCATTCTCGTGCATTTCTCCACAAAATGATCGTCTAACCTCAACCGGACTGGCAGCCAAGATGACCTCCCCACGATCCTCTCCCCTTGGGAACAACGGGTCGTCGCACGACGTCAAGGACAGTCCTCTTTCGTCTCATCCGACGAGCTCCGCTGCGATGGGCGAACATACCGCTTCGGAAGCGTAGGAGAAGACAACAAGCTCATTCTCGTGCGATCACAACATCCATAAGTGACCAATCAGTCGACTGAATTTCAACAGTAGGACTTTTCCTCCGGCACTTCATCGCCCCAAACACCTCGGGGCACACCATCCGCGCATATCTATGTCATCTAGCATTTCCCTAGCTTACCGTCGGGGCACAGTGCCGACGATCCAACTCTCTGCAACGCGTTACTATCGCACTGTGTCTTCAAGGGACGAGGTGTCAATTGTATAGCCTGTGTTGGTGGGTCTCCCTTCGTCCCCTGCGCAACAGATAAAACAATTTGCCACCGACCTTCTCACCTTCCTCCCACGCGCCCTCTTCATAGCATCAAAAATGGGACATGTCCGTCCATGCGCGCGGTCATTTGTCATGACCAACAGAAGAGGGCATGCACACAGGATGCTATCTGTGACAGATTTTCAAGGGGTTGTCGCTTGACTTGGGTTCGCGGTCGATAGGAGAAAGCAGAGGTGAAGATGAGCCTAAGTTATTTGTGAATTATGTATATCTGTTAGATCTCGCATGTACGCACATGCCAAGATTTATCGATGCCACCTATAATTTTATCATTTGTTCTGTCCTTGATGTTTATCGTCCCCGGTGCGCACTATGACACATCGCTCGACTTCTCCTCGAAGTCCTCCGTAACATCATTGACATCCTCCGCATCAGTACTCGCCGACGGCCGTCTCACCCTCATCCATGTCTTCTATCCTTGCGTCTAGATCAGGACCTGACTCGTCGTTCTCCTCGCCGTCCCCGTTTATGGAGGGTCCTCCGCCTGATTGACCTGTATCGGATCCCTCAGAGACGTCTTCTGCCTACAATGACATTAACGCCCGAACAAATGAAGAGACCCTGGCACGGACCTCGTTCTTCTCTTCCAACTGCATCGTATGCCACCCGATCGGAATAACCCAATCAAACCCACGATTCCGTATCGCCACGTTCTATTTGTCGCATTGAGGAGAGTAGTACCTAGTCAGTAATCAGTAATCACCTCCCAAATGAGAGGTGAAGAAAGTGCGTACAGCGTCCTCAAGTTTGTTTTCCTTGTCTGAGAGGTCTTCAATTCATGTTTGAAGATCACGTCGGATGTCCATGCGCCTTGGGTAGCGATCGAGTTTGGGTAGTGGGGTACGGTTGACTTGGGGAGGACGAAGGGGAGCAGAGGACGGGGGACGAACGTTGGGGTGATTGTGTCGTCAGTGTAAGACAGTAGATCGACTCAAGTTCGGTGTTCCTGTAAGGACATCTTATACAAAATCCTCAGACTTGAGTCGATCATGAGGACTTGTGCTTCATCGATGCATGTGAATCCGAGGCACCAAATTGAAGGCAACGAGGAATGTGATTTCGTCTTGTTTCAAGACGATGTCGGAATTGTGAGTGGGTTGTCGGATGGCGCGATACGCAAGTGGGACTGGTGAGGGCGAAAGCATATGTGCACCAGACGCGGGGGGCACAGACGGGGGAATGGTGGAAAGCGTTTGGACGGCACGCAGCAGAAAGCGGGGGGACTCAGTCAAATGAGTGCTTTCTATTTTTTGTAGAAAAAGCGACACCAGCAGGATTTGAACCTGCGCACGGGAACCGTAAGAGATATCACGTTATTCGAATCTCTCGCCTTAACCACTCGGCCATAGTGCCTTCTTCATTTCCTCTCCTCTGCGACATTACAGCTAGCCTGTGTGTCCTTTCCATTTAGACATCATCGCGTCTACTCCAATTCTTGCTCAAGAACGATGGACTGGTGCGTCACTTAAATTCATTCTGCCTGACATCTGACAACGTTGTTTTAGCTTGGAGTTGAACATCCGCCAGCGAATCCTATCGGACCTTGCTACCCTTGAACCAGAAACAGAAGATGACCTCCTTACTACTCGTGACCTCATTCAGTCCAAGGCCCAGCTGACAGATGAGAAACACAGTGTACCCAATGGTGACTCTGGGGAAAGGGATGAACCTCGTGCATTCATGGTACGTGTCCGCTCAATGTCTGTATCATGACTTATCATCAAGGCGCAGTCCGAGGCCAGGGCCCACTGCAACATTGCTTTCGGGGAACTTGTCGCGAACTTTCCGGACCAACATATCGCGAAGCAAATTGATACCCTCATTCCCGTACTAACGGATCTTTTACACGACGTGCCACACGTCGACTTTGACCGATGTCTCTCATGGGATGGTGCGTCATCTCTCGTATGTTGTGCTCAGCGCCCCTGACCGTCCATCAGAGTGGGCCCTGCCTGATCAGCTGGTCTTTTCCACCGTCTCCGCCCTTCTGCGTATCTGCGGCGCACATCCAGAATATGCAGACAACGCCGTCACCTCTATTATCACTTTCGTCACTGACATTGTGGAAAACCTCAAGGAATCCACCTGTAAGCAGTCCATCGGCCTTTAGTGCAGGCGTTCTCACATTTTCATAGCCATGGATGTGCTCACACACCTCACACCTTCTATCCATGGACTGTACCGCGCCATCACATCCACCCTCTACCCATGGACAGCCCCTCAATGGCGCCTTCTCTCTACCTCCCTCCAATCTCTTGTCGCGACTCCCGTCCTTGAACGAATCAACCGTCTCCTACTCGACATACATCAGGAAGCAGAGGCAAATCCTGACGTCGACGCTACCTCCATCGCCTTCTGCCATACCTTCATCTCTCGATACATCGCGTTTGGACGCCCACTGAGCGGATACTTCATCGTGTGCTGTGTCATGGAGATGCAATGGACTGTGCTTGCGCAAGCCCTTGCAAGTACCCCTCTGGTGCACAAGGGCCAGGTGCGCGAAGCGGTAGCGGCGAATAAAGCGTGGGTGAACCTCATGAAATGCCCTGCGAAGGATTTGGAATTAGAGGACGAAGAGGAGACGAAGGAGGCATTGACGCTCGTCATTAGGGATACCCTGCAGTGCTTTAGTGATCTGCTGGAGCAGATTGAGGGTATGGAAACTGAACCGCCCGTTGATACGTATGCATGGGAGACCATGTCTGAAAGCCTGGTATGCTTTCCTCGTGCTTCGATTGGTGATATCTAACCCGTTGTTCATGGATAGAAACTAGCATCCGTCTGCTCAGTTGCGCTTCGAGAGATCGATAGGGATTTGCACACTCGCCTGACACAGCTATTGAGCGACAACGCACCCATTCTGGACAATCTTGTTCAGGAATCTGCACTCAAGGCTACTACGGTGCTTGTGCGAAGGTTAGTCAGGCTATGAAAAGTGCAGTGCTTCCTTTGCTGATAATTTACAGTTTCCCTGAGATCGCCCCGTCTTTTGTCAGCCATCTCCGCCACTTCGTCACGTCCCCGCTTTCGATATTCGAGTTCGCATTCAACACCGAGAAGAGGGCACCTCCACCTCTGACGGCTGCTGCTAAATGTCTTGCGCTTTGCATCAAGGTATGTGTGTTTCCTTACCCGGTTCCGTCAGTCCGCCTCAAGCCCTCCCAGCTGTCCCCTGGTGACGACTCCATCATGTCCAATATGTACTCGCTCCTCAACTACATTGCTGCGACCTCAAAAGAAATATCCGAATCTCTCTCCTCCCAACAACTCCTCTCCAATCCTCTCTACGCCTCCTCGATCTCCTCCCCGAATGATAATATGACCTTCCACAGTGACGAGACAGGACTACACGGGCGCACAGACGAAGAAAAGCGGCTCATCGGGATCACTACCATCTCCGTCGTCACACGCCTTGCACTTGAGTTTCACACTGCGGGGCAGGAGGAGGTCACTAAGCTCACGATCTCGATGCTGCTGCAGCGCTTACGGACTTCAGAGCCGACTCTTGAGGCTGCGATCGCATACAACCTTGTGGACCTGGCGCTTGTAGCCCCCGCAGAGTCGTTTGTAGATGTTGCGCGTGCGTTTTCACTTATTAATCGCGCTACGAACTTGGAAGACCCCAGATTCTCGAATAATATGGTACGTAGGAAATTATTTGCGAGTGATATGTGTGCTGATGGATAGTAGGTGTTAGCCGCCCAGACGAGGCTTGCCCGGGAACTGAATCAAAGGCCGGATTTATATGATGTATACCTCGTCGAACTGCTCACTCTCTTCTCGGACAAAGGTGTTGCTATCCAGAACGTCGCGACGTCCGACCGTCATGTTAAAGTGAGTCTGATCACACTTTGCGATCTTGTGCTGAACGCTCGATTCAGACAGAAGAGATGGTCGAGCAGCTGGCCTCCCTACTGTTGCCAATTGAAGCACTCCTTACACACGCGGATTACTCCCCACACCTGACCGCTTCTCAAGAGCTTACTGCGCACTTCCGGACCATGTGGTTCCTCTGCGTCCTCTTCAACTTCACAACTGGCGAGGAGAAGGGTGCGATGACGTGGCTCATGCCTGCGCTCGCAAAAATCGCAACGAAGACGCCAACGCTTGTTCTCGAGAATGCCCATGATGCTGCGAGCGACATCGAGTACAGCACTGTCATCCGGCATGAATATGCGCATTCTGTGAGTGCTGTTGCGGGGTTTGGAAAGGACGGGTACTCAATGATTTTGATAGGTTATTTCAAAACATCGATCGTCCCTTACACGCCATATTCCACACCGCGCCAGCGAGATACGCTCTTTATCCCCGGGACAGGTAATTTTCTTGTTGACTATGCACGACATCGAGAGCATGCGATCTGCTGCTGGCCTTCCATCATCTCTGGTGTCATATTTTACGAATGGCAGCCTGAATCGACAGAGCAATCTCATCGCATGCATGGAATCTATAGCTGACAAGGTAATGATTAGCTTTGGGTAAGGTGCGCTGAACTAATGAGGAGCAGGTTATTCGCGGGTGCATTGGGGAGATGAATTCCCAAGCTTTGGAACAGGCACTACCGGAACATCTGTCCGAGGAGCTTCGGAAGCTGCTTGTAGGCAGCACTCATCGCATATCTCGTGCTCGGGACGTCGCAACGAAATATCTATACAGCTTGATCACATCATTCCCGTCTCTTATGTGCGACCCACCACTTGTGTACGCAATTCTTGAGTGTCTAACGCTTCTGCGTCATGCGTGCGAGAATGAGTTTACGGACGAGGTGACAGAAATATGCACCCATTAATCTAGTAACTAACTTTAGATTGCAGTATAATCCAGTGTACGAGTTTCACTCCGAGTGCACCGGCATCACGCTGCAGCTCACGGACGACTATAAAGTGCGAAACGACATCCTTGGGCAGCTGCAGCGTAATGCCAATACGTGGTTTGAACTCGCGCTCAGCCGGGCTCCCATTGAGCTCCAGTCGACGCTCCAGGTTAGCTTTATCATTTTCATCTGCAGTTCATTTTCTTGATTTTTCGATACAGAAATATCTCGCAGCGACGCAGCCGCTGATCGGTGCGGACGCCGCTGAGCTAGGAGCTTCTGTTGCAGAAAAGTTTGCAAAAGCCTTTGGTCCTGTGCACCGACAACTTTGTAGGTGTTTGGTCTTAAATTATGTACAAGTCTGCTGATCATTATACATCGCAGCTTCTCTGTGTAGCTTGTCAAACTGGAAATCTGACCGTGCACGTGCTCTTGCCATTCAACTTGCAAGTAAATGCTATTTTTCAGGGGAGGTCGCTGGTTTACGGCTCGCGGCTCATAAAAGTGAGTCGGTTCACCTTGAGCTATAGAGTGCTCTTAACGTGCGAAGACCGAGATTCGTTGGACAAGGCGGCTCCTCAAATGTCGTGCACTGGCGTACAGCCTTTCAAGGACAAGATGGCCGATACAATGAATGATATTCGGAATAAACGCAGCTCTTTAACTTTCCAAGATCTGAAGCGTCTATTGTTCCGTTGCGCAGCGATTCTAATATCATTGGAGAAGGTAAGACCAAGCTGTATATACTTCTGATATCCGTTCTCAGGATTTGCAGTGCGATTACACCTTGGTGCATTTCCTCGTTGCTCTGCCGTTTGAGGTTTTCACGCCCTCTGCGATCGCTGTGGGTATTGAGACGTGGACGTGGGTCATCGCGGAGCGTCCCAACATGGAAGTAGCAATTATGTGTGAAGTGCTCACATCTTGGTTTGGAACTGTGAAGGAGCGGAAGGGCGTGTTCTCGGCTTCATCAAAGTCCGTCGTATCCCGTGCATTGCCACTTTCTGAGTAACTGACAATCCACAGTTATGACGATCCCTTCTACCATCCCATTAGTTACAGTCCAACTGACAAGGACGAGATAGATCGAGCGACGACTCATGCTCGTCGACTGCTCATGCCGCATACCCTAGTTCTACAGATGTTGTTCAGTCGATTGCAAGCGGCTAGATATTGCCGCTCGACTGTGATGCTCCTCATCCAGAGACTTGTTTTGCGGTCTGCGCGAGCGCACAAGTTGTTCAGGTACTTCATTGGTTTAACCATTCGAAATCATATTGAAATTATCTCCAGCACTCATCCGCTGGCTCGAGAGCTACGCTACACGTTCCTTCTTTTCGGACTGGAGACGTTGAAGAGCTCTCATTTAGATGCTGTCTGTGAGTGTATGTTGCGTGAAAGTCTGTATTGCACGGCATATTCGTGGTTTGCTGTTCGTCCACAGTGAGTGTATCTCCCAGATGTCAGTATTTGTGCGAATGCTTACTCTGCTTAGGTGGTCTTTTGGAGCCAACCGAGTGCAAGTTGATGCAGACATCAA